CAACCCCACTTTCTCTTGGGCGGCTCCACACTGCTAACTTAACTCCCGGGGTAGCTCCTCTCCTCTCTCCCTCTCTCCTGCCTTAGTGAAACAATGGCAGGGCTTAACTAGCCATGCCGCCGCAAAGCGCCCGTTGACACCGGCTGTGCAGCGTTCCCCAAGTCTTGGCAGGCGTTCAACTTGCGATTGGACTCACACTCCTGCGATCCGTATGGTGGGCCACACACCGGTCGACTGATAGGCCTTCGATTCCGCATCTCCAAGCCTTTGCCGCCTGTTCCCTTGTCTTCACAGCTCGCACACAGTCAAGCCATCCGTCAGTACAATCAATCATCAGCCACCGGGTGAACTTGCAGGCTCCCGGTCAGCCTCCAGCCATCCCGCTCACGCTCCCGCCCACCGGCAAGTGTGCATTCCCACCCCTGCTGCTCACCCCTCCCGACTCAGTAGCTTGTCTGCTGTTGTCGACACGTTACTGTCCGTCGCCCCACAACGCTCCTGGCCAATCCCCCACCCCCGACTCTGTTCGCGCAAGGCAAACATGCTCTAGGTACAGGGTTGTCAATCGATCGCGTAGATTGCTTCGGTAACAACAACTGCGATCTTGATATCAGGTAAGTGCCTCCTTCCCCGCCTCTCCCCTCACGGTATTAGGATGAGCAAAATCGGGATGAATCTTCCGCAAAAATGCGGGGAGATTCATCCAGCATTTACCCCCCCCCTTTTCGAGCGCAGCTCGTAGCCCTACAGCCCTGAATCTTACAAACTTTCAGTCAAAACTAACGCCGAAATCGGTTTCGCCCGACCTCTAAACCTCGGAGTCGGCCCTCAACTCGACGGGATCGGTCACGATGTGACCGAGGTAGCAATTCTCTCTCTCTCTCTCACTCCTCCCTCCGCCATAGCTCATCGCACCGAATTCCTTTACTAACTTCTACCTTACTAATTTTCGTCCTTTCGTGCCGACGGATTCGGGTTCGCGGGGTCAAAAAACCCCTGTCTAACACTTTGTCCCGCCCGATTTCATTGAGAAACGGGCGGGCTACAAAGTTTTAGCCCCGCCATAGCTCGCAGCAGCTCTCCCTCCGCCTCGCATGCACCTGGACGTGGCTCCCGTCCGGGTTCGCTCAGCCCCCTTTGCTGCCTTGCCATCCGTTCTTCGTGCACATTGCTGCGTCTCGTTATCACTCGTTGTGACCCCGCACGTATCCGGCGCCAGACACCGCCCCCATTCACTCGTCGTCCCCACAGTTATCGTCACCACTTTATCGTTCCTCCCCGTAGCGCTACTCCCCTTTCATGCCCGATCTCCACGGGAACCGAGTGTCGGAAGCGGAACGAAAAGCCCCCGCTGCTCACGTTATATGCATTGGCTTCGTGCAGGGGCCACGCGAATCTTCTCTGTATCGTTTCAATTCTAACGGATGTCCCGAAGGACTTCGGTCGTGGCCACGCTCCGTGCCCCCTTTGCAATCTGACGCTTTTAGAGTCACCCAGCCTCGTTGGGTCATATACGAACCTGGCCCTCTCTCGAGGCCGGGTACAGACAGGTACCTCCGCCGTATACCACAAACCTCCGCAACGACGGGCACCCTGACCCTCTAGCCCTCCACCTTGTTTTAACGGATACCCCGAAGGGCTAGCCACAGTAGTGTCACACCCGCGGCCCTTCAAGACCAGATCACCCAACCACACTACCGCAAAAACAATAAGAACGAAAATAATATAATAACATACATAAAACGAAAAAATCCTAAACCAGGGGCGGGAACCGCCGGTACCCCCACCGGTCCCGTAGGCCGGGTCCGTCGCCCGTGCCTACTAGCAAAACCAAAGGGGGATGGCCTCGTCAGGCCCTCAACCCCTTCAGTTTTCTTCATGACGCTCCGCCGCTGCCACACCGATGCCCGCTGACCTCGATCCTGAAACCTCCGTAGCAATAGTCCAACACCGTAACCCATAGGGCTAAGCCCAAGCCTGGGACAAATGAGCGCGGACCTCAATATGAAGTGGTGTCGCGCCGCGCCCCAGCCTGGGAGCCACAGCCTAGGCCTTCCTTGCCTACTGCTGTCGGCATGCCAACATCAGGTACCCGCGCCAACCTGCTTGGACCACGCCGTGGTCGCCCCGTGCGCCCACTGGCGTGCCAGTCCCACCGCCGATTGCGCATGCCAACCCAAAAGCGAGCTCTCATCCGCTAAACAAGGCCGTAGCATGGTCCAGGTCGGTCGACTAAGCCGGCCGCTCACTCAATCAGAAAAATCACACGCGCGCCTTAAAACTGCGCGCCCACATACACTCTAACCTTAGTCAGGACGGGCCCCGGACGCAGCCGTACCTCGCCCAACTTATACCGACCAAGCCCATTCTTTTTTCTGTCACTTGCAAAAACCAGGGCGGATACCCTTGTAAGGGTATTCGCGCCGACAGCCTACCGGACTATATTAAGCGACGTCCCCGTCGCTACGCCAAATCAGAAACTATAAATTCATCCATACTCCAAATGCTGACGAGAATGGAACCAGTCCGATTAGCCGACAGACTCAGGGTTGAGGCCTCCAACACTCCATGCCGACATAGCTATATGCTGCCAGGGTTTTAACCTGGGTCTCCAGTGTCCTGATGCTAGGACGCAGGGGTATTACGCATCAATACTACAGCATAAGTTCCACAGGCCACCTCAAACCGCCCTCTCCCCTTCGTCCTAGACAAACGCCGGCTTTTCGTTGGGTGTCCCAGTTAGACTCTCTCTCGCAAGTAGAATCATATGGGGATGCGGACCTTAGAGGAGATCTTAGAAGGCACTCTCGCCTTCCTCGCGAAAATCCTCGCAATCAACATATATATATATATATATACATAAATCTCCTCTCAGCCCTTTCTGCAGCCTAGTACAGAAACGCTCGGTCTCCATCCTGGTCCACCATAGTCTGGTTGATCGAGCCAGATCTACGGCCTACCGCATTGTTATCTTAGCGGCAGTCCCTTCGTTGGTTACGCAACAATAGGTTTTCTCCTGATAGGCATTCAATTAGGGCGCCCAAACGACTCGACTCGTATCCCCTGCCATTCCACTAGAGTAATTTCTTCGGGGCGTGCATAACCTCTTAAACTCTTACTCTGCTGGTAGACGTGGGCCCGCAACCAGGTTGTGCTGGCTTGCAGCCATCCAATAGGGATTGCACCCTAGAGGTGCTAACCTTTACCGTTTAGCTTGGTATTCCCTAATATGCCTTGGGATTAGCACATGTGTCTAGGCGGTGTGTCGCAAAACAAACTCACAGGGCCACTGCGGGACAACGCAGGGATCTGCCCTACTTTTAAGGGTATTTACCAGCCCCCTATGGGACAACATAGAGGGCGCAGCCCCTTCTCACAATCACAAACAATTTCACCGCTAGACTCACACGAGGCCGTGGCCTACTGACTTGATCAGAGATAGCAAACCACACATCCCGTGACATCTTTATGCACTTACTTGTGACGTTCTCAGTTCCACCAATGATTCCAACTCGTAACCCTGGTTCCTCTCGTCAGACTTTATCATTCAAACATTGTTTACCATGTCCTTAAATCTATCACCCATTTTTCACATGAAGGGGGTCTCTCCCAACAGGTCTCCTAGCCACCCCTCTCTTTACAAGATGGACTATCACGCGACCTGGGTTACACTGCTGTCAATAAACAGCATCCCCACCTTCCATAATCCGAGGGGTCTCAATTATATAACAACTTAACTGATGGGCCTTCTTATGGGCCGTCTCCCCAACTTAAACGCAAAACAGCTCAAACTAAGGGGCCAACTTATGGGTCCCCTTCACAGCTCAGCCATAAACATCCGGCATGGTAAGCATCTGAGCCTTATAGGCTCGCAAGACCCCTCAGGGTCCTCATGCATCTGTCACAAAAACCGACCGCGATGCCTCCTCTTATACTCGGCCGTTCCGCCCGCCCATGGGCAAGCCGCATGAGTATACCGAAGAGTAGACGGCAATCACAATCACACAATACACATACATGAGATGTATCCCACACATCTCTCACACAAAGCCCTCATTCATTGGGATAAAGCCACACGTGTGAGAGTGATCGTGATCGTCACAAGAATAAGTCCCACAGAGTCTGGAATCAAAGATATACTCGGGAATAAAATATCTCCCTCGAGTCTCAATACGATACTCAACTCAAACCCTCAACACACAACTCGTAAGGTGTATTTGGGAACAAAATGCCTGCCCCGAAAACACTCAAATACTCACTCCACTATCTCACTCCGCAGGATAAACTCACGTCCCTAGTGTCATGGACTCTCAGAACCTACTCAAAGATACAAATAAGAGTATCTGAATCACACAACTGAAAATGCAAGTCACGTATGTCATAGATATCATACAACTAAGTCTCATCCCCTAGACCGTATCACATATAAAGCTCGAACCGATCACACACCGCCACCTATGTATACACGACTAGACGGGACTTGCCTGACTAACTCAGAGTATGTACACCCCTATCACGACCTCTGCGTACAGAGGAGCTCTAATCCTACTGTCATATAGATGGACCAGCCCCTACTCACTCATAGCCTCCTGGTTCTGTCTATATAACTGTGCCCTACCCCCATCTGGAGCCCGCTCTACCACTCGCCCCTGCCTGTCGTACATTCTCCCACCACTCTCTGTTACTTCCTAGCCGCCTTGTCCTTAAGGAACTTTGGGTATTCAAGAGCTCTATGTACGTCGTCCTTGCAGAAGAAGCACTGATCGTCTGATCTCCCTCGACACCTCCTCTTCTTCTTCTGGGACCCAGGCAACGGCGGCGTCTCGCTAGTTTTTCCTGCTCATCCCATGGCTCTGGGGCATACTCCATGACTCTGCCGACCCCCCCTACATCATCTGGGTACTCGGCCCTGCTAGCGCCTCACCTCCCTCGGGCCGGTACGCTGGAGTGTCCGATCTCAGTGGCCTACCCTCGCGGACTCCTCCCATCGCAACCGCCTCCTCGTCCCTATGCCGGTCAGAGGGCTGGGGAGTCACGACAGTCGCCGGCTCGCTCATAACTTCCTGCTGCTGCTCTGAGATGTGCTCTCCTGAGTCAGTTCCAGTAACCCAAGAGACTAACTGCGTCCTCAGCTCCCCTATCTCTGACACACGCTCTGGGGTCTTCTGTCTCTGATGCTCTCCTGACGGCATGTCCAACTCCATAGCTGCCACTAACTCATCCAGTCGAGACGCCTCTCCCCCCATTGCCTCCGGCTCAGTGGATGCTGCTACTCCCGTAAGGGCACCCTCCTACACCTCCAAAAGGATCGTAGGGGACTCCTCTGTGGGGCCCCCTTCCTCCACTGGAGGTTGGGGTCCCTGCGCTGGCTCGCCCTCAGGGATCCCAATCGTCATAGGGGTGGCCTGCTGCGAGGCCAACTTCGTGGGAGTCCTGAAGCTGAACCTCCTCTCCTTGGCCTCCCGCCTCGCTGCCGCCTCTGCTGGGTCCAGGAATACCTTCCCCATTCCCTCTTGATGTGGCGTATCCGTCGTTCCTTCCTGGCCAAAGAGCCCCTGTACCTTCTTCCCCTGGATACCATACCGACTCTGCTCCGTCCAGCCGACCACCTTAGTGGTCGAGAGCCTTTTTACTATCGCCGCCATGTCCTGAAGCCTCTTCTCCCACTCCGCCTCCTTGGCTTCCGTGCGGGTCCTCCATGCCTGGTTCTCTGCCCTCTCTTCCGCCAACTGGGAGGACAACTGTCCCACTTCTAACCTCGAGGCCGCCAACTCATCGCTGAGCATGGAGTACCGCTGGAAGGACGAGATTGCCACCTCACCTATCCTCCTGTCTGTACGCTCCATCTCCATCCTGGCGACTGAAAATCCCATGTCCTCTGTCTCTCGTGCCTCGTCCAATCTTTCACTCCCCTGTCCTACCTCTTGCGACCTCAAGCGAGCCGCATCCCTCTCGCTCTCATAGTTGGCCCAAGCCTCACTAATCCTCTGCTCGCTCGTCGGAGGGTCAATTGGCGGCTTTGGCGCTTCTCCTGTGGCCTCCATCCTAAGCTTTTCCTAGTATAGCTCTTCGAGGCGTACCTGCACCCTCGCGCGCTTCTCGTCTTTCGTCTCCCCCGGTGGCCTCCCTGTCCTCGCCTCGTGACCCTCTCGCAACGGATCTCCCTCACTTGTCCCATCCTCTGCGGGTGGCGGCCCTGGCGGAGGCTCCCCGGATGTCAGCACCTCCACATCCATGTGTGCACCTGTAGACTCAGTTAGTTGCGGCGCCACAGTAGTAGTTGCCCTCGCCCTCTCGTCCCCCTCTGGCTCCGCCGGCGTCGGGGGTGGCGTAGTAGCTTCCGGTGGGGGCCCCAACATCTTCTCGCTGTCCGGCTCAGGAATTCCTTCAGGCCAATATTGTCGCGCCTGTTCTAGAATCGGGGTAGGAGGAGGGGTATCATCCCAACAGTGATAACCCCCTCAGTCTGCGGCTCCTCGGGTTCGCAAGACCCTGCCTCAGGCCCCGGCTCAGGTGGTTCCTCCTCTGGCTCATCCTCCATTGGTTCATACCGTGCCGGTCCACTCTGGTCCGCTCCCCACTGTGACGCCCCCCACTGGGACGCATCGAGATGAGCCTCCAACCTGTCGAGCAGCGTCCTCAACGGCACCGCCCCTCCCCCCTCTGGTAACGTCGGCGACGGGCCCCGTAGATCACTGCCCGTGATTCGGCGAAACTCCACCTGCTCGAGCCCATAGGTAGGGGGTAGCTCCGCCGCCTGAGCTGGCCCCGCGGCCTGAACTGGCTCCACCGCCTGGGTGGCCTCTGCTGGCCCCTCTCGCTGTGCCAAGGCCTTTCGGCCCCCTCTGGTCGTAGTGGCCCCTCTCGCCTCTAGGCCCCGTGGCCTCTTACTCCTTCGTCGTCTCTCCACCCTGGGCTCTGGTCTCTCGGGCTCCAGTCGTCGAAACGCCTGTCTCAACTGGGCCTGGCAGTCCTCCCAGTCGTGTGCCCTGTCCTGGATCTGCATCGCCAACGACCTCTCCACCCTTTGTGTCCAGAGGGGCAGCATCTGCATCCACTCCTCCTGCCCAGTCCCCTGGTCGCGCATATAATGGTCATAGGCCGGGATGAACTCCTCCGCATTGCCTTCCTCCAATCGAATAGGCAATCCATACGGTCCCATCGGCGAAGCCCTCAGCATCTGCATCTTCGCCTCCACATCCTGCCATGTCAACGCCTCCTCTCGAATGTGCGCAATAGGCTCCTCGAAGCGCCCAACTCCCCTCAAGTGTCGTATCCTCTCCAAGGTAGACCAGCCCTCCCGTGTCACATGTGCCTGGTAGAAGTCCAGAAAATCTCTATGTTACCGTCGTCGAAGATAGGCGTAGACTCCCTCCCAACCGGTCTGCGCGAGTCATCCCCTCCTGATGCTCCCTGAGGCCTCTGTCGTGGCCGCGCGMCCCTCCCGCCCCTCTGCATGGTTGTCTTCGAAAAGTCAGACCTGCACAACAGGCGAGAGAAAGCAAGCAGGCACACAACAAGGTTAGCCCTCGGTTCATCAAGTTTTTATGACAATACACATGCCTTTTCCTGCTCCCTCTCCTGTCCTGACCATAACATGCGATACCTCAAGGACTAGTCTACTCTAGAGAAGGTAGAATTTTTTACCTATTCCCTGGCCACGAACTTCTTCAGACTGGTCCCTGATACCCAATCCTGCCAACCTGTCCCGTCCAGCTCCTCGATCTGATAGCCCCCAAATTCGCTGCACCGCAATATTCTATAGGGGCCCAACCATCTCTTGTCAAGCTTCCTTGACCATTGCTTTTCCAAAGAGGAGTCGTATAATAATACGACATCCCCTACTGCCAATGGCTCCTTTCTTACCCGTGCCATCTGGTCCCACCTCATCTTATCTTCCATGCGACTCCTTTCCGCCTGACCAGCGGCCTCTCGCAATCTTTCTTCGGCCGTCCCCACTTGCCGCGCCCGAATATCGAGCAGTTCTTCGAAAGACAGGTTTACCTCCAAGTCCTGGCGGCTCCGCGTCTTCATAAAGCTTTCTATGGGAAAGGTGGCATGCCTCTCGTACCATAGCGTGGCTGGCGCGTACTTGGTAGTCCTCTTTACCGTAACATTCTCCACGACGAAAGTTACCCGTAGGAACTTCGGCCACTGACCAGGCTTGCCCTCTGTCCACTTAGCCAGGAGATTCGTGATGGTACTGTGCCCTCTCTCCACAGGAGCGTTCGCTTGAGGGTGTACGGCCGTAGTATAGTTGGTCACTACGCCATACCCTGCAAGCAACGTCCTCACCTTATTGCAGGTAAACTCTGATCCTCGATCCATCACGAACTCCCTGACRAAAGGGTATCGCAGGTAATACTCCTCGATGCAGTTCGCCAAAACCGGGTCAGTCTTCGTCCGGATAGCTCGTCCGTCCACAAACCCAGTAAGGTTATCCCGTGCATCGAAGATGTAGTTACACCCATTCTCCCCTGCTGGCATGAATAACAGGTCCAGGTGCACGACCGCACCCACTTCCCTTTCTAACCTTGGGTGCAGGGGTTCTCCAGGCCTTTGCGCTGACCTTTCTTGGCAAGGTATACAGGACCGGCAATATTTGATAACCATCATTAGCATCCCGTCCCAATGGTAGAGCTCGCTTATCTTCGCGCATGTGGCACTTACCCCTCTGTGCCCCCCTGCTATACCATCATGTAGGCCCGCTATGATATCAATTTGCCGGTTTCTCCCATATAGGATCCTTTTGGGGTTCCCGACCTGCCGCTTTATAAACAAGTGGCCGTCTCTTACCACATAGAGGTGCCTCATCTTCTGTGCCTTGGCACTTGCATCTCTATCCCTTATCTCACATGATAGGAGCAACCCCAATTCCCGGTAGATCCCATCGTACTCCTCTGCCCGAAACGCCTCCTTGATTTCTCTTTCCTCGAATTCGTCGTCCCGACTTTCAGGAACCAAAATCTCATCTTCTTCATGACTGAACGAGCCCTTCCGGTCAAAGTCTCGTTGTAGGAGCATATTGGTGAGCAGGTACATCCCTCCCATTAGCTGGTCATGCTCCTCTACCTGAGTGGGGCCTTCCTCTATTGCCCTCACTTCCTCCACCAGACTGTGCGTAGCTGCCAACACCAACTTCATCATCCAACCAACATCTTTACTTCCCCACGGATCCTCCTCCTGAAAGGGCTTGGGGACTAACTCTTCCTTCTGCTCGTACCCCTTTGGTGTCAGCCATATGGGGTGACTGACGCAACTGGGCACTCGTAGGGACCATTCGTTTATGTGCAGGCGGACGTCCTCCTCTTGATCCAAAAACCCATCAACTGGCGGCGTGTCTTCTATCGATTCCTCGTCCGATCCGTCCCAGTTGATGCGTCTTAACCCATCTGCCCTGTTCTTGTTCCCTGGAATCCTTTCCAGCTTGAAATTAAACATCCAAATGTAGGTCAACCATCTTGCGACGGTTGGGTCAGATGGAGTATAATTCTTCAGGGAACATGCCAGTGCAGTAGGGTCCACCCTCAGGATAAGCCTCCTGCCAAAAACATAGTTCCGGAAGGTCCTTAGGCAATGAAGTACCGCCAGCGTTTCCTTCTTGAACTGAGAGTAGTTCCTCTCAGTTGTATTGAGGGTGCGACTTTCGAATCTTAGCGGCCTCTCCTTCCCCTCAGTATCTGCCTGGATCAGGACTCCTCCCAAGGCAGTTGTCCCAGCATCTGTCTCAATGACGAATGGTCTTTCCTCCGTGGCCTCATAGTTTGGTGCTCCCAATACCAAACCTCCTTCCTTAAACTCTCCTTTCATCATACCAACCGCCTCTTCTTGGTCTTCGCCCCAGACCCATTCTTGATCCTGGCGCACCAACTTCCTTAAATGCTCCGTCTTCGTGGCAAAGTCCTTCACGAAGCTCCTCCAAAATTTGCACGTCCCAAGAAAGCTCCTCACATCTGTTATCGAACGGAAGGGCACCGACCACTCAAGAATCTTGTCTGTTTTCTTTACGTCAGGCCTTCGTCCGCTCTCATTATGGACAAAACCTAGAATCGTGGCCTCTCTCATACAATGTTTCGACTTGGGGCCGCTCGCCGTCAGGTTATGTTCTTCCAATAACCCCAGAGTCTGATCGATGTCTTGAACATGCTTCCAGACAAAGCACCGCACACCGGGCATCACTTCGTCTTCCTCTTTCTCCTTCGGACCTTTGACCACCAGGTCATCGATATAGGGTTGAGTGATATGTGGGCTGACCGTCTGCATGGCTCTGATCATACGCCTTTGCACCATCGCCACTGCATTCGTCAACCTTGAGGCGCCACGTTCATATGAATCAGCCCTCTGGGAGTGTGCATTGTCGTTACGGGTCTGTCTGGCGGGTATACGGGGAATTGGTCATACCCCGAGTAGAGGTCTATAAGCGAGATTATGGGCCTCCCTGCGCACAATTCTGACAATGCGTCCGCGTTCGGCAATCATCTCGCGTCCCACACTGTCACCGCATTTAACCGTTGCAAGTCCTGCACCCACCTTAGCGTCCCATTTGGTTTAATAAAACAAAACCAAAACGGCGCGTACGGCCCACTGGAATAATCAGCCACGTGCGTCCGCATCTTGCCGTCCAGGTAGTCCACCACCATCTTTTCCTCGTCCGGATTGGGGTACCGCGCGCCCCTTAGATTCCATGGCTCATGTGGGACTGTGTGTCCTCCTCCTCGGGCACTTCCCAAAGCCGTCTTCGCTCGTTCTCTCCTCGAAGGTGAATGAGTCGAGATTGGACCTATTCCTCCCGCTCCCCGGCCCCGTGTTTCAGCAAGTGACAACTTCGTAGTTCCCGCATGCTGGGTCGCATAGGAGCAGGATCATTGTCCCGTCGTGCTTATTAAAAATCAACATCTCCGTTCGACACAGGAACGACCTTCCCTGAAGGATGGGATGATCGACATCGGGCGTGACGAAAAAGCACGTCCTGGCTCGCACCTTCCCAATCTCTATAATCACATTAGACGTCGTGCCGCAAAAAGCGGCCTTGCAGTTGGCGCCATGCAGCATGCCATGGTCCGAGCGGTCGATCTCCATGCCTATCATCACCGCCTCCTTCTCCCTGATGATATTCATTTCTGCGCCCGTGTCCACCATCCCAATGCACTTCTGGTTCTTTATCACCAAATCCACATGCCCGCACGCCACACATTTTCAGTCCATCCTTGTCCCTGCCTCAGTCCACTCCACCTCTCTGGGCAGGACCGTACTCAGATGGACAATTGGCACCAACCTTCGCGAGAGTCGCCCGTTCAACTCACCACGGAGCCTTGGTGCCGACGCCAGGATGTCCTTCAGGTTCATCAGGTCATTGTGGCCTTCCAGGAGCTTGTCCACCATCCGCTCCACATCAAAACCTTCCTCCATCCGAACCGCGTACTTCTTCCTCTTAGGTACGCTGTCGGGTAGGCTCGGCTCGGCTTGCTCCCGGGCTCCTCTCTTTTTGCCCCTTAGCTCCGCCCGATGATCCTCCTCTTATCGGAGCCTCTCATCCTCTTCATCGTCATCCTCTTCCTCTTCCACCAGGACCTCCACCACCTCTTTCCTACGTTCTGGCTAAGGCTCCTTTCGAGGGGGTGCCTGACTGGGCTCTTAGCTAGGCCCGGCCTTGTTTTGGCTCCTAGTCCGAGCCGCCTGCGGTACCCTGCCATGCGACGTGGGGGGTCTGTAGGCCATACCTGACCTAGGGCCCGTCTCTACAGTCACCACTCTTGGGCACCCTTGTTGTCCTGGCGAAGGCTCTGGCCCGAAGTCATAAAGGAAGACCTCAGGCAGGTTGGCCTCTTGGGCTTCTTCACACAGGGCTTGCAGCTTCCGCTGATATCCCCCCACCTTTTCAGCAGATCTTCCATCCTTCCCACGAGGAGTGTGGTCGGCTCTCCTTCGCCTTCCTGCCCCTCATCATCCGATTCGACGACTATTGACTCCTCCCTTATAGCCCCTGCCTTTAGCCGCTGGTTGACCTCCTCGTTATCCCCCACGATCTCCTCGACCCTTATGGTCGGCTCTTCCTTCTCTTGCCACATCCTAAACATCGTCGGGGGTGCTGTGGGCCCCGCTGCTGCTCGTCGGAGAGCCTCTTGCCTGATTCCTCCCGGGGTCCTGGGGTCAATATGCTCACCCCACTTATCATATATGTCCCCGTCCATACAAGAGGAGATTAACCCTGACAATTCATCCTCCCGCCGCCGCTCGCAGAACCGCACCGTGTGGCCTACATCGCCACAATGCCAGCAGGTGGCATTCCGCCAATCAAATCGGGGCCTCCCATACCCTTGCCCCCTCCCTGGCCGCCCCGGCCACCTTGGTCCTGGCCCCTTTGACCATTCCAACCACCTCCGCGACCCCCACCATTTCCTCCTTGGCCCCGGCCACCACCTCCTCGACCCCCTTGACTTCGGCCTCCATTGCCTTGTCCGCCTTGTCCTTGGTTTCCTCCCCCGGCCACGCTGACCTGCGAGGTCTGTTGGGAGGGAGGTGGTTGGGCCACAAACTGACCCTGGGCCGTAGGGTAGTTCGGGGGCCCCATACTTGCCGCTAGGCCAGCATAAGGGATCATTTTCCCGGGCTGGGTTTGACTACCCCCGCACGAGGTGCATTGATTACAACTGGGCCAGGATGTAGGCTGACAGTGCGGCATCCAATGCCCACAAGCCGGCGGCGGCCCCATACATGACGGCCCGGCCGTCGCTTACGTTGTCGTGGCAACAGGTGGCGGCGCAGCAATCGCTTGCGGGACCTGCCCTTTTCCGGATCCTTGACCCCCCACTTGTAAATTTCGCTGCTTTCTCTGGGCCTTGGTTAGGATCTGGGAGCCCGTCTCTTCTCCGCCATAGTCCTTGCGCCTAGCCTCCTCTTCCACTGCCCCCGACGCCCGGCCTTGGGCTACGGTCACTCCCCTCTTTTGCACTTCCGCCTCATTATCATACCCCAGCGCTGCCAATACGTCCGTGACGATCCTCTTCACTCCTGAGGTCCCGGACGCACTGGCGTCCCTTTCCTTTCTCTTGCGTCCTTGCAGCCGCACCTGGTGCTGCTCCACCTCGTCCAGGCTCCCCTCTTCCACCCCTTTGTCGATAATGGCCCAGGTGAGTTTCTCATTTCCCCCTCCGTGACCCGTGAGCTCCGAGGCCTCCGAGCCAGTAAGCAGACCCAAAAATATGGCACACTGGGTTTCTTCGGAGATCCCGTGCACCTTCTGCGCCTTCCTTTTAAACGCGTGCACAAACGTCCCAATCGTGGATAAGTCGTCCTTGTTCATGGCTTCCAAATCCGCCATGGTCAGCAACCCATCCCCCAACCTGTACTTTCTCTGCATCATGTCCCTGAACCTCGCCCAACTACCATTGGCGGCATCCACGACCTTGCCCACTTCCTGATGGTGGCTATGAAGAACATATCTTAGGACTCGCAGGAGCTTGACCTTGTCCGACATCCCCACCAGTGCTTGCTCCGTCAGGTCCAGCCAGTCGGACACCCGTTCTCCCTTGAAGTGGAAAGTATCAACCTTCGGGACATTGCTCGACGCCCTCTCGCGCTTATCCAGGGCATCGATGAGGTCGTCGAGCGTTACAAGCTTCCTCCCACCATCCGCCATCTCCTCAGGAATTTTGATTAACTGCCTTCAGCTTCAATCCCCCTTTTATAAGAAGCGATAGGACGAAAGGTTCCACTCAGCAGTCCATTCCTTCATGATCCTACGGGACCGGCCACCTAAGCACCCGACGCTCTGGACCTGGCAGACATTTCTCTCTCTACTTCCTACCTCCCTTGGGTTCACCTAAGTAAGACCCACTCTCATCACAGAATTCACTCACATACTCGCCTCGTTCATGCCATCAACCAAACCATCAATCAAATCAACATTCATACCCACACAGCCATATAGACTACTATACGACCCATCTCGTAGTTCTTCTCATATTTACTCACGTGCCTAGTTCTCTCTCATTCTCATATTATTCGGATGTCGTTCCACCAGGGACAACGGTAGGCTTCCGTTATCCCCGGCAACGGCGCCACCTGTCGAGCGCATCGGTCCGGCACCGCACGTGGCAGCGCGGGACCCTTTCGGCCGCGTCACGCAGGAGTTGGACCACCTCGTCCCGGACACACAAATGGAGCTTCCTTAGGCCGCTCCGGCCGAGTGCGCCAGCTATACCTCCCGCGAGCCCCTACGACAGGACAGGGCCTACGTGAGGCATGGCTTACCTCCACCTTACGGGAGCTGTCACCTCCCTTCGGTGGGCGTATCCCCGCCAAGCCACCAGTCCACAGTACGAAAGCTACTCGGTTACAATCGTAGAAGTGGACCAGCCGAGGGCGTTTCTCGTTCGCTGTAGCATAGGGGGTATGCGCGGTAATACGTCTATCGGACCCGCACGAGGGCCGACATCTTGGGGGGCTGAAGTCCTAAGCGTGGCTTGACGTCGGTCGACTAGGACGCATCCCACACACCACTCGCACACCACTCTACGAACACAAAAACAATACATACGCGCGCGTACACATTGCACAAACGACACAACACGAACAACGCGACAACGCTCCTAGTCCCTCGGTAACCAACCCATAACTTTCCGATGCGGAAATCGGATGGGCGTCGCGCGCGAGACTTAGTATAAAAATCGCGCGGACGCAGGGCTAACTCATATCGACTCGCAATGCAAACGTACGCAAGCAGTCGCAATGATGACGTACTATGTCGTGCCCATAATCGTGCGGCCCTCGTTAATTTCGAGGGTCGCATTCGACACTCAAGTGTCGGCTGACACACGCCTTGAGGGTAAATCTCTCGACGCTGGACAACCGTCGTGCGCGGTTGGAGACCACACCCTCTTCTGCACCCTGTGCAGAGGGGTTGAGTAGACAGCTTTAAGCTGTCGTGGCGGTCGAACATCAAGGGGTTTGACTTTGACGGCCGCCGCGGACTTAACGTCCAACTATGAAAACGCAAAAAAGAGACTCACTCCAACCCCCATTAGTTGATGGCCCTCAAAAATGAAAAGGGGGTGGATAAGCCCAAACGACGCGCGCGCGGAGGAGGTCCGGTATCCTACCCATAGGCTACCCGGCGTTCGGGATAAAGAGGCCCGTACACGGATTCCCAAAGGCTAACCGGGGCTAGTCCTCCGCCCACGTGCCGCTTCACGTTACCAAGATCCCAAGTTTACTGGTCGTGTCGCGCTCGTGATCTCGCCGCCTGACCCATAACTCTTTTAGCGCGGGATGCGATGAGTGCCGCGGGCGCTGGGCTTACACATACTATCTCGCTATGCAGTTCTACGAGAGTAACCGCGATGACGGCGCATTGTGTAGTGCCCACACCCAGATGGCTTACTCTGAGCCAAGGGGTCATCTTTCGACGCTCAGGCGTAGGCTGAAGCGCGAGCCAACGGGGGTAACCCTTTAGCACGCGCAAAACCGGCCTGAGGGCCTTGCCGTCTTCTGCACCCTGAGGTGTCCCAACGGGTGCGGGGCAGGACGGCCCCTAGGGCAGGAGGGAGTTTGGAGCGGTGGTGAGTTGTCTGGCGCATCACTAGCAACATGCTGACCCCTCCGCCCGGAACTTTATCGTTCCACCAAGATGAATCGCAACAAGGAAAATAAATAAGAATTGGCGAGGGATACCCCCACCCCCGTTTCTATTCACCCCAACCTTCGACTGACCCTTAGTACGCGGGCGCTTCAGGCAACGCTAGCTCCACACGTAGGTACACATGCATTGGCACATATATATATATATATATATATATGCACGAGGGGGATAATTATGTGACGATCACTTCTCATAGTCATAGTGCGTCTCCTCCTAGCCATACATATATATGCGACCACGAGGCAGCCCAACCAAACCCCAAGTCTTTGAACATACCTGCAATCACATCAAAAGTCAGACAAGAGTCCACGCACTACGTGGAGTCAACTCCAACCAGTTCTATACTCATACCCCTCGCTTTAGCCATGCAAACCCCAACCTCCAGCCAACCAACCTCCATTAAATACTCATTACCTTTGTTAAATGGTCATTCAATAAAAGTCCGGGTGAAAACCCTTAACAAACAAGAAGATCACCAGGGCTAAAGCCTTTTAGGTTGAGTTTGGGGAGCGAGTAGGAATTGAGTCGTGAGCCGACGAATCGGCAACCGACCTGTTATCAGTGAGAACAGAAAGTGATCCTTGTAGGATCAAGCTGACACTAGCCCAAGTCCTGAATCGAATGTCCAAGAAAAGCCTGTACCATGAGACAGGTCAAGGCCCAAACTAAAACATCAGCCTTTGGGGATGAATCTCCATAGTACATCCTC